TTTATTAAAGCGGAATAGCTGTACTAGTTATCATTTATTTTCGTAGCCCTGCATTAAAAAAAAGAGGTAATGTATAGTCGAAGCTAAGATTATTTGCATATTTCTCAGAGAATAATATACAGTATATCTCTGTAAATTGGGGCCATATGAAAAACTTATTCTTCAAAAAACTTCTGCATATTCTTAAATCATCAATTTTTTCAATAGTATATGAGGTCAGCAAATATGGATTTTACCCAAGGGTAAAGTTTGACAATATCGGAAAACATTATTAAGTTGATCAGAGCTAAAAATTACGTTGAAATATACAATAACATCCATTTATATTATATTAAAATATGTTTTGTGTTTGTGCTTATGTTGAATAAAGATTTATCTCTTGTGATTATGAAAGATAACTTACAAGATATTTTTTGTTTGATTTTAAATGTTTGCGTAGACAAAAAATATGTACAAATCATAAGTTGTACAACTAACGTAATATTAATTAAAAAAAAACTTAATTTTCAACAAGTAGCCCAATAGGAAGCAATCAAGGAGGAAAATAGTGCAAAAAGTTTATATGATGTTAGAACCTAAATTTATTTCATGTCTTGACACTTTGAAGTTATATTGAAATCCTTTCAGGCTTTTGTTTTTACAGTATAAAATTTTAAAAAGTCTAGTTTTAAAATCTTAGAGATTTTAAAACAGTAAGAGAACGGATTCACCCATATGTTCAAGATATTCTCTAACATTTAATGAACTAGGACATGACACATTTGGTTGCTTATAAAGGTGGTTCGTCTATTAAATGTGAGTTTGTAAAAACTGTAAATTAAAAAGTCTTCTGCTTCTTTGAATATCACATAACACGTTCGTTAGTCTTGAATGAATATTAGCCGTGAGACTGTATTATAAAATTGGGGTTTTCGTCAAACTATCAGCGATAATGTTGTGAAGCAACACTAGACCAGAATACTGAGGGTCATCTTCTGACTCTCCTCGCTTGGTTTGAATGATTTTTATTTATTGAGTTTTAACATTCTTCCCACTGTATATTTACGTTTTTTTTTTTGCATGGACGACTTCCTTTTGCGTAATGACATTTTTCGATTGGTTGCAACAGACAGCATTCATTTCAAACTGCGCGTATCATCACGGACAACCAATTGTTGACCTTTTACATCAAACCTATTACGTTCGTAACAGTTGAATGGGTAAAATTTTTATTGGGATGTCTATTATTAAAAATAATTGCCGCTTCCATCTGGGTTTTATATTATCCCCCAATCAGGACTATTTCTATTTGATCTTCACTATTTAAACACATGCATTAGTTTGTCAGTGCATTTAAAAAATTAACAAATTGTTTCAATGTAAATGGATGTTACTTCGTAAACCGCTGGAAAAAATTGATATATGATGACTATTTTAGATTTTGGAGCTTGCAGAACTTTTTTTTAAGAATAAGTTTTTTGTCTCCTAAAATTAATAATAAAAAAAATCCCATATGCTTCCAACTTACTGAGACATATATATGTTTTAAATATTAAATTTCCGTAAGCAACTTTTTTCTCTAATAGTTGTACGTAAACGTATTATGGCATCGACAAAATACACGGCAGGAAATACTAATCTCTCATGTTCTAATGAGATTAACCACGCCGGTGTAAGCACTGCCACCACAGTATTCTACAAAGCCCGCCGTGTGTAACAATATTTAGTTAAACTTGTGGTTTTTCGGTAACCGGCAACCTCGAATTTCTGAAACTAAAACGGTGCCGTAACGCGAGATCTCAAGATGTGAATAGTTGTTGTTTCTCAAGCATGGAAACGACTTGACAACAACATTCATTTTCTGCCAGATTTTGACACCGGAAATAGTAAGGAGTTTTCTAATACGTCGTATTTGTCTGATTTTTTATGTAAAGTGTGTGTGCGTTTTCTGCCATACCCTATAATATCAACGAAAATAAAAACAACAGCACTGTACAGGTTGTCCCAAATTCATGTTATCGGAATAGTGTGTTATTCTAGAATTATTTAGTTTTTAAAGCGTTTCTGGTAGGTGTATTACAAACTGATTGAGGCAAGACCCAAAATTTTTTTCGCCTATTTCTGATCGCCAGTAGTAATTTTTTTAAATGGAGTCATATTTTATATTTTTTTTTATATATATTTTTTTACAATTTCATGTATAAATATTGCAAAGAAATTGATAAAAATATCTAGCTATTGGGTTTCTTAAGTTTCACTTTATTCCTTATATAAACTCTATTTTTCTACTCCAGTCTGTAAAATACCCAATTACCCACCGATCTAGCGTGCGGGAAGCGTCACTTTACCACGTCAGTTTCGTTTCCCACGAATCCGAGCCATTTCGGATATTTCCGAGATTTTACGGCACGGATTTGGGAACTATCGGATGTTTTCGGAGATATTTCCCACGCTTTGAATTTTGACGTTTGTCTAACGGTCGTGTCAGTGAATGTATTTGTGTTGTGTTGCGAAAACGTAGCCAAAAACTAACGGTCGCAGAAAAAGTATAGTATGCAACACGTTCGGTAAACTTTTTAACTCACTCATTTATTAAAAACTTGCTCCGCTCGTGTCAAATAAACTCGTGAGTCAAATGCCGTTTAAAATACTTGTGGCATAATATACTATAATGTTTCGTTTCTGAAATACAACAGGATGCTGAAATCTTGTTTTTGTTTAGCCACAGGCATTCATAAGTCCGTTTAATTAGTTTAAATTTTGTAAAATGCGGTACACAAATATGGTTTACCGCAATCTTGTTATCCAAGATATTCGGACACCCCATTCAAAATTTTACAAGAATTGTTCCCAGGGTATTTTCGCTAAGACGAAATGTTTTTGAAAAGAAATATGGAATGGAACAAGTATACTTTTTCCCCTGTCGTGCACAACAATTTTTTCATGATAAAATTAAATTTAGTAGCTTTCCAACAAAATAATATTTTTCGACTCGACTTCTTAAAATACATAATTATTATACACCGATCTAGCGTGCAGGAAGTGTCATTTTACCACGTCAGTTTCTTGTCCCATGGATCCGAGCCACTTCGGACATTTCCGGGATTTTACCGCACGGATTTGGGAGCAATCGGATATTTTCTGAGTACGCTTTGAATTTTGATGTTTGATCCTGATGGTCATGTCAGTGAATGTATTTGTGTTATTTTGCGAAAATGTACCCAAAAACTAACGGTCGTAAAAAAAGTATAGCATGCAACACGTTTGGTAAACTTTTTGAGCCACTCGTTTATTAAACAGCCGCTCCGCTCTTGCCAAATAAACTCAAATGCCAAGTGTGGTATTGTTGCATAATATGCTAATTTAAACAACGTCAAAATTCAAACAGTGAGGTAATATCTTCGAAAAAATTCGATTGCTCCCAAACCTCGTGCGGTAAAATCCCGGAAATATCCGAAGCAGCTCCGAAACGTAGGAAACGAAACTGACGTCGTAAAATGACACTTTCCGCTAGTTGGAACGGTATATAATTAGGTATTTTGCAGAACAGAGTAGAAAATAGTATATTATGCAACAAGTGCGGTAAACGGCATTTGAGTCACGAGTTTTTTTGACACGAGCGGAGCGAGTGTTTAATAAAGTTTACCGAACGTGTTGCATACGACCGTTAGTTTTTGGGTACATTTTCGCAAAACAACACGAATACATTCACTGACATGACCCTCAGAATTGACAAACGTCAAAATTCCAAGCGTGGGAAATAACTCCGAATATATCCGATTGCTCTCAAACCCGCGCGGTAAAATCCCGGATATGTCCGAAGTGACTCGGATTCATGGGAAACAAAACTGACGTGATAAAGGCACGCTAAATCGGTATCTAATTAAGTAGTATTTTACAGGCGGGATTGGAGAAACGGCTTTTGTTTAATTTTTAATTTAATTTCGCCATCAAAAATCGATAATGGAAAATCCGACACATTCATATTGCTCATTGTCCATCCATAAGTCAGCAAAAAGTAAATCAAAAATGTCAAAGGTAATATTTCGAGCACATAAATCAAGAGTTCAGAAGTCCTTCGATGGTAAGCAAGTGGAATGTTTCAAAACTAGATTTTTCTATTTTCTACTTATATTCAAAAATTAATAAGTGTACCTGAAACGTTTTTGAAACAGGCAGTAAAAGTCCCAGCTAGTTCAAGAGAAATTTGAGTTTTTATGAAATGAACTTTTATTTCAAGCAAAAAACTCACCAATTGAGTAATTTCGGTTTCTATAATATCCCCACAAAACCATATTTTCGATTTTCTCTTGCAATGACTATTCCTAATTTAAAAAATGTTATTTTTCATTAAAAAAAAAGAGTTAACCAAATAAACAATACGCCACTTTTTTAAAAAAACGATTTGTTGAAATTTAAGTTCATAGCTGCCATAACATTGACCGCGATTGTGTAAGTAAATCAGGTCGATATTTGAAAACTTTTCTTATATTATATATACGTGTGCTAATAAGTCTGAAATTCGAGGAATATAACTTTGCGAGGGTCTGTTATGAAAGACGGAGGAGGGATTGTGGTGCCCCACCCCTTCAATATTAGTCAATATCAATTAAACCGAAATGAATAAAAAATATTTTTATATTAATTTGCTTTTTTCACACATACATTGTGCTTCCTCATTATTCGTCGTCACAGCGTCTATTTCTATTATTTTAAGAGAGATAAAAATTTCAAAGTGAAATTTTCAAAATTTGATATTCATAAAAAAATGCAATTTAACTTAAAAATTAAAAAACAAAGTAAGTTTTTGATTTTGGAATTATACTCATACCAACGTATGTTTGGTTATGATTTTTGTATATTTATATTTTTAATTATTCACCTTAAATATTATTTGGATACCCAAATCGCTATGAAAATATCTTTTTAGTTTTAGGGAGTACCTCTGTAAATGTTTCTTAGTTTTTTTGTACAACCGTAAAATGCAGAAGTTGTAATGGATTTTTTTTTTATTTTTACAGTGAGATGACAGTAATACGGCAAATCGAACCGGATTATGGAACCATGAAAGACCACGAACCAGATAGCCAATTGAATCGGCATTTTGGCCCAACACATACGGTCAAAGTTTTTAGAGAACCTGGACGGAGTTTAGGGATTAGCATTGTTGGAGGAAAGGTAAGATTGCACCGACCGTTAAATATTATACGCATTTCCCTGCTGAAGAAGAAATAGCAAGTGAGAAATCATCATTGGTTGCGTGTTGTGGTTGTCATGACATGAAGCTGCTTTTTTACGGCAGAGGATACCTATCAATTTTGAAAAGGTTGCATTTTAAAATACTCTTTGTAGCTTATAGATAAGATGAAAACTGGTCTGGATAGAGTTTGTTACGAAGGATCCAGTGGCGTAGTCCGTTTTATTGTGAAATTTACAGACTATATGTTATTACAGTAAATTCGTTAACTGGTCTATATTTCAGCTTTTTTATGAGATAAACTCACAAATACTGTTGAAGTCTGGATCATAATAATGACCATAATAAAAAATAGTTGACCCTATTAGACATAGGTATCAAATAAGCTGTTAACTATTTTCTATTTGCCTTTTTTCTTTATTATCCTATATGTGTATTTTTTTATTTTAAGCAATAAACGTGTAAGGATAAGCACCGGAAAATGAAAAAATTGGAAAAAAGGTAAAGCACACGTTTGTTTAAAATTAATTTAGAAACTTTTACATTATGGATATAGTACAAAAATCAAAATATAAAAAAAATTGTATTTTTAAATGTGCGAATGAAAATGAAATGCTTTTTCTAAGAGATGCAGATGTAAGAAGAGTTTTTTAATAATTTTATTGGACTTGTTATTAGATTTTCAAAGATATATTTTTGAATGCAAATACAAAGTCTATGTTTTCACTTAATTTTTTTTTACGATTAGGCCATGGAAAACTTCCACGGGTCACAGCAATAGTATTTACATATTTTCTGGATTCCTCCTGCTTAAGTTGTTGACAAATCCAACTGAAACATTTTTAGTTAAGCTCTGAAGAAGCCAACAAGATGATTGGCGAGACGTCAGCAAGTTTATAACCATAACCGACGCGGGAGGAATCGAGAATATGTGTAAATAAGTTACAGAACTTTTCAAAGATACTTCCACAGGCTACTATAATATTATTTACAAATCTTGTGGATTCCTCCTACTTCGGCTGTTTATAAATCCAATCAACCTGTTGTCTACTTCAGAGCTTAACTAAAACTCGTTACCTGCTTATATATTGTTTGAGGGGGGCGGAGTTAAAGGAGGGACATGAACATTGTCTCGGATGACTGACCTCCAGTGAGTATCATGAATGTCTGACAAATAAATTCTAGGAAAACTTTTTTCCATAAAAAAATTAAAGACTTTGTATTTGAAATATGTCTTCTGTTACATAATTTTTAAAAGCTCATTAAAAGCCAAAGCCTAAAAAAAATATTAATAGATATACAGAGCAAGTTTCGTTTGTATATCAAAATTTGCGAGTCTCAGAAAAAAACCACATGCAGACCAGTTTTTGCCGCTTTAAGTTTAGGCATAAGCCAACCATCGTGGCTGTTTAAAAAAACAATATTCCCAAAATCACCTTGTATTTAAAAATCCAAAGTAGCTACTACATTTCTGTTTGTAACACGTTTCATTTCATAAAACAGCAGGGTCACGAAAACCGCAACACGCTAAATTTATTATTAAATTAAAGAAAATAAGGTTGCACATAACTGATAACAAAAATTCGCTTTATTTTAATACTGTAGCCTTAAACGTAGTATTATTTATCCATATAAGGATTTTGTTCACTGCATAGGTGGATATAGAGCACTCGGATAATTCGACTGACCCACTACTGGGAATATTTGTGAAAAACGTTTTACCAAACAGTCCTGCTGGAAAAACCGGCCAATTTCAGGTAAAAATTTTATCATAAACTTATAATTATCCAATTTCGCCAATCTATTTCATTGAAATTTTCCATGACACACTAAATATAAGTCTACAAGGAAACATATAATAATAATAATATCATAATATAATAAAAATCACGTTCTTCCGAAGCTACACGGACGTTCAAAACTATTTACAGTGACTCATTTGAATTATTATTTATTGACATTGTTCCTAATTACAAGAACAAATTTCAACGAAAAGTACCCTAATTTACAGTAAATTTAATTATTTATGCCTACCGGCTATGCCGGTAATTAACCTCGCCAAACAACTCTTGCGTTACTTCCTCCGGACCATGAGCTAATGCTCCATCGAGCCAATACCAAGAGTCCCGGTAATGTTCTATTGGAAGTTTCATCGTAAGGTCTGGTTGTCTTTAAGGAGACACAAACCCATAAAAATTAAATTTCTGCGTACCACACACCGTGTTTTTGTCAATTTATATGAATGTATGTCACGATTGGTAAGAATTTTTTGAATAGAAGCATGAGTTAAGCCCAAGATGTGTTCTGCACATCGTATGAAAACTTGTGGATAAGCGGTGTTTATGTTATTGTTTTTCTGTTGCGGGCTTGGGTGATCGACTTTCGGTCTCGAGCTTCCAATCGTAATTACCGAAATCATTTTCTATTCGTATAAGCAAACTTTCTAAGATTCACGCGTGGCAAGTCAAGATACATCTCGTCTACCCTTTGACATGCTGTCCACACTTTCCATAAACAATGGAAAGTTTCCTCGGAACCTCATTTGCATAATCTGGTCGATTTTAATTATTTTGCTTCACTTTTGGAATAACAATTAATAAATACTTTGTGTATGTATGGAATGACTTTGATAAATTTTCAAAAAGACGTGGTATTTTATTGCTACCGTACGTACCAAATATGTCAAAATAATTCGATTTTTAAAGAAAAAAGAGAAAACCGCTTTTATTTCGAAATTTAGATATAGATATCTTCAATTTCAATCAATTTAAAGGGTCCGTGGGTATCGAAGTTAACGTCTTAAAGTAACACTTTCGATTTTTAAGTAGAGAATCGTTTTATCCTGTTCGTTTTGGATGTCATAAATTTTGATTTTATAAAGATAACGAAAGTGTGATTGCTCAGAATATGAAATTATCTATATTAATTCATTCAACAACAACAATTAGATTATAATAATTATAATTATACGTTATTTTGTTCAAAATACAAAAAACTGAAGATATGTTGATGTTTTTATTGATACTGAATAATTACTCACTCATTGTTGTGCAGAAAAAGCGAGCTTAATATAATAAAATGATAAATTATAACCCAGAAAATATTATTTTCGTTGCTTTCTTAAAAGTGACGAAATTTTCCGAATGTTGTTGCCACAATACAATGTTTTCGAAGTTTTGCTTCTGGAATATGTGTGGTTACTTTTTAGAATTACTTTCATACTAATCCTAGTTGTCCCAAACGTGTTAAAAGTATCAAAGTCGTGCTTTTTTAAACGGAAGTCCCTGTTAATTCGAATATTTCGAACAATAAGGTTTTTGATTTTCATAAATGTAATGTAATTTTAATTTCTCAAATACTTAAGAAGTATTTAAATTATATCAGGCAAATTTATGGTAGAGCTTAACAATAGACTTTATTTTATATCTGAATTATGAAAAGCAGTGTAGCGTGATTGGAACTTTAAGTGGTTATAACTTGATTAATTTAAATAGAATGTACTTTTCAATTACCTTACCATCAGATGGTGTTATACTATTCTGAAACTAACTCTTCGTGTTTCCGCAGAAATTACTTTTTTTTCTAAATAAAATTTTTACTGTTCTCGTTGCCTATGAAATTTGGAAATATCAGATAATTTATTTAGGCTATCAGTTTTGTGTCTTTCGGCAATAGCTTTCACCAAAAGAAAAGCTTATTGAATTGATTTTTATCAGAGTTTTTATCCATGAAGAGTGCTATCGAAATTGTTTATTCGCTTTCCGGGTTACGCTCAAAGATTTTCCGATAGATATTATCTCAAAACCAGACAGATTTAAAAGAATAATAAATCAGTTTATGGAAAGTGGAAGTGTTAGTAATAAAAAAATCTGAAGACAAGGAAACGTGTGAAAACACCATCATTAATTAAATAAGTATTTCGAGAATTTGTAAAAGGACCGATTCCATCTTTATGCAATATAGCTTGACCAAGAAGTTTATGAAAATAATGAATCTGGTAAGTTAAAACATATTTAATGTAAACATTTACTCATTAATCAAGTTATAACCACTTAAATTTGTTATTATATAAGGATAGATTTTTAACCATCCTATATGAGGTGGGAGGCGGATTTAGATGGATGATAGGTATAAAACAATTAAACTTTATTAAATTGTTCTTATGTATCTGACAAATTAGCATTAGGTTATATTTCGACAAAATCCAAATTATATAAAAAAAGACCTAAAAATTGTATAAAATAACTTTTATACTTTTGGGAGAGCCTGTATAGTATGAAAATAATTTTAAAATAGGACTTTACACATACCAAAATTTAAAAACTTTTTGAACACCTTTTATTTTGGCCGCAATATGATAGATTACAAGAAGTATTCCGAATTCTGCACGTATTTTATTACATCGATTTGATTTTATTTTTTTTCTCACTTTTATTTTAGGTCGGCGATAGAATATTAGAAGTTGGTGGAATTAATTTGCGGCATGCCAGTCACGAAAAAGCGGTTGAAGCAATAAAGAATGCACCCGATCCAGTAGAGTTTTTCGTTCAATCACTTATACCTTGGGTAAGAATTTTAACCGATATTACGTTAGCCATCGAAATAGTTCTGTTTTATTAGTTTGTTAAAAAATATTCAAAAGTTTTAATTCACAGGAACAACAAACAATCAACACAAACAAAGCATATAACAAAACCACAAAGCCTCATAACATCACAAAGTATAACAAAAATTTTTTAAATAATTATTTTACATTTAAGGTATTTATGGTAAGGCGTAATTCTTCTAACTTTTATTTGAAAAAGTCGAATTAAAAAGTTTCCTTAATTTTACTCTAGTTACTCAAGTTATTTTAGACTATTTTGTCAATATAGTTCTGAACTTTCTTCAGCTGTTCCAATATTATATTATCTACATTATATGCCCTTCGTCATACCACAATTAATAACTGTATAAGATTTCTTTCAGTAGATAAACTTTGTGGAGTAAACGTCACACTTTTTTTAAAAATATTGAAGATATAATCATTCTATTTGAAATATTTCTCGACTAGAATTCCAAGGTACTATATATTATCGACACTGTCTCAAAGGTTCGCCTGAATTATCCAGCTTACTATGATCAGAATCAACTGTCCAAGGCTTATGTTAATTGAAATTATTGTTAACTAATTCATCTTTTAGGCGTATTTAACGATTATTTCAGTAAATTACCGATTGAGTTGCGTTTTAATTAAATTTTAGGACAAATCGCAATCTCGTCTGATTAACGACAGAGGAATTATTGAAACGCCAAGGCCACCGGATCTACCGAGCAACGAAATTGTCGAGAATCATGACGAAACTAACGTTCGGATTATGGAAAATGTCGTTCCTGGTTCAAAAACATTACAGGATTCCACGGGTGAGTGTTTTTCTTCCTCAGATGAAAATCTTGCTTCCTTTGATTTCCGAAACTGTAAACGTCTTCCTAATAAATCCTAACCTTTAAACTGTTGTATTACTCGTACGTGAGGTCTAAGTTTAATTTTTGCTCAGTCATATAGCTACCTATTTATAACCAGCATAATCGTAATGTTCCCCCAACGACATTGAGCATAACCATCTAATCAACATTTTGTGCATCCTAAGGTTTTATTATATTTATAAAGGGTTTATAAGAAACCTTAGTTTATATAACTGTTTTATAAGATAAGTTTTGTAACATGTCCAATAAATAGGTACCAAAACAAAAGTTTATAACATTCAAAAACATTTCGGTTACTTTATTTACAAAACCTTTGCTATTGATTACTTCATGTTTTTTTGAAAGGCTTTATAATGTTTTTCAAAACTTTGTGACATTATAACTTATTCTGTAAAACGCATATAAATCTTAAAGCAACTAATAAACATTTTACAGCTACTGTGCAGACGATTCTCTTTTCGAAACTTTACCTAATTTTAAAAGGCACATTTAGTTTAATTCTGAATTTTATCTAGATATTTATAAAAATTAGATACACATCTTCTCAGAACAAATAAATAAACAAATACTAAAAAGTAAGGTTATGTTGGTTTAAACAATAAATTTTTGAAAATCATCTTTTATTGCAAAAGTAGTAGTGCAAAACATCTAGCTACGGTTTTTAAAAGTTTGCAAATTCACATAAATACATTCATAGACAAGGAAGAATTTTAAGCAATATTCCTGAAATTCAGAGACTTTTTTTTAATTTTGCCTTTCAGATTTTAACCAAAGTTATTATTTCAAAAATTGATTGCAATAACAAGGGCACGAAATAAAATATTTGATACACCAATATTATAGAAAAAGATGAAGTTTTTTGCGTCTCCATAAACACTGTAGATAGAAAATGTATTCCTTGCCGTTATAAAACTAATTTATTGTTTGTAAATGTAAAGGACAACCTCTTATAAAACAAACAAATGTTAATTGAGCATATTCTCACTAGGTTCGGCGAGTTGCCCTTGACTGTGCGTCGTGACTTATAATCACTATCGTGCTCCTTCGCATTTGCCAGGTCCAATATTTTGCCTCAGTCTTTCATCTCTATTAAAAATCTTGCACAATCTGTTTGATTGGCCTCTTTAGCTTTAGTTTTTTTTTCGTTGTGTTAATATTTTTTTATACTTCCATTACTATTTTAAGTATTGTATACATATGATTTAGTTTTGTAAGATTTGGTCATTTAACTTCATTTACTTGTTTGAATTTCCTTTAAGCGAGCTCTTGTCTATTGGAAATAAAGAGTTATTCATTTATTTAATAACCGAATTTGTTTTCACATTTCATCTTAACTGTTTTAATGGATTTGATATCTGTTATCGAAGCAACACTAGATAGTATTAACACACAATAACGCGTTTTACCACAAACCGAAACTCAATTTTACGTACCCGACGCGCGTTTCGCCAACCAAGTTGGCATCTTCAGGAGAAGATTAAAACTAAACTTAATAGAACAAATGTTCTCTATATATACACACACATCGAGAAGTGGGAGGGGGAATTACGCACTGTTCACGCAACCAATCAGCACGTATAATGGCTAAATGGGATTGGACCTCTGTCCTTGTTCAGTGCCTTATCCCCTGTCTTAACAATTTCTAAGCTTTCGTAGGCATCTATTTTTCTACTATTATTTACATGTTTAACTAATTTTAAATTACTATACTACGTTAATCTTCTCCTGAAGATGCCAACTTGGTTGGCGAAACGCGCGTCGAGTTATGTTAATCACTCGTTTTGAATTCCAGGACTTGCTCAATCGCCTTTGCCAAATCAACACTCGCCAGAATACATTAAAAAAACTGTAACAATTAAAGAACCGGACGAAGAAGTGGACGGTAAGGAGAGCCCGGAAACTTTAACGCAAAAAGATGCCACAGCGGAGGAATCCGCGAGCAGTGATGACGATTATGACGATGACATTGGGAATACGGAGCTGGAGGGAAGAACGCTATCGGCGAAAGGCCAACAGGTGGGATATTCCATTATTCGAATCTCAATCTCAAACGTGTGAATCAATCTATCAATCACGTTGTCTTCAAATATCACGACCAACGTTTTCTATTATAAAATCATCACCAAATTTATTGATTCGATACAGAATGTTTTAACATGTTCATTCCCTGAAATTTGTTTTTAACTTTTCGCAGATTGACCGTGCCAGCGCTGGAAATGTGAAACGAACCAAGGAAGAAATCTGCGAAGACTTGGAAGACGAAGATGATTTTGGATATACGATGCGTAAGTAATACCTCTTGTGTATTGTTACATTGAAATGGTTCTGAATCGCCTATTTCATATAATGCGATGTCTATAAATCCGAAGTGGTTCGTTTATTACGGGATAATACCTTATCTGAGAATCTGTAAGAAATATAAAAAAAATTAAAGGCAATTTTTTTCATATTTCATTACAGTTACAGTTTCTGGAAACGCCCCATTCTTATAATCTTGCAGTATTTAGCATTTTCAAAAATGGTCACTTTGCATAAGGTTTCCTATTTCAAAAAGTTGTAGTGGAAAGATTAGCAATAAAACTTTTTTCCCTTGTTAAAATGCTAAACTACCATTAATTGACCAAGAAGATAATGGCGAAAAAGAACAATCTAGCACTAGAAAAATGGCATCTGCTGCTATTTGCTGTCGTTTGACATTTTTTTATAAATCATGCCTTGCCGAATTTGCTGAAAAATATCCAAATAGTCAAAAACCTTCAAAAAGCACTGTTAAAGAAGTAATAAAAAAAATATGCAAATTTAGGACCGTTTGAAAAATATATATATTACAAAAAATCAAATCCGTGATATTTATTACCACCCCCAAATGCCCCCCCACCCCCCACATAAAGGTAACGAGGTATTAAGGAAATGAATGGCTCAGAAATTTGAAAAAAAATATGAACTAAACTTTAGGCCGCCAGGAGCATTCCTTTGAATTTTAAAACTCGATTTCTACAAAAATTTATAATTACCTAGTTAAAGTACGTACCATTTAAAAGCAGCGACACATTCAAATATCTTTTGCTTTATGCTGTTTGCTCATTTCTGCATATTGTGGAAAGTGTGCGATATATTAAACCAAACCCCTTAAGTTCGTGGTTACAACGATAATAAGGCAATAAATAGCCTATACATATACCGAATCAAATGAATGTCTTGTGTTTAAATCCGATTGGAGGTCATTTTTTTTCTCATCCAATGTTTAATTTTATTGGATTATTATGCTGCTTAAATTTTGAGTTTTTCAGGACAAACAAATGGATAGTGGCTACAATTCCTTTGAAAGATTTATTTCTGTTTCCATTTCTATTGCATTACTATCAAACATATTTTATATGATACGAAGAAAGGTTATTTCAAAACTGAAACAAATTTAATGACATACATTTTTTATTTCAATTAATTTAAATTTTACTATCCTATTTACGTTTTTCGTCCATTATACTGGATGATCGCAAAAAATTATTTCGTTTGCGATAGTCCACAATAAATCGGATCAATAAATTCAAAATTAATTAGGAACATGAGCCCCCATTTTCATTAATAGTAATCAACGCTTACCGATAGCCATCGCCAGTTTTAGCTACTAATATTATCTGGCAAGCGTATTTAGCAATGCACAATAGCGTGCTAAACGATTTTTCCACATTTTACATTAAAGTTCCATATCGATCCCGAATGTTTTCGTCGTATTTTTTAAATAAAAATAATCAAGATCAGTTGTTTTTCATTCCGTTTCATCGGCGACTTCCGCGTTTTGTTTTATTTCTCTGAAAAATCGCCCACGCAATCGTAACGCAATTTTTAATGAGATTTCTTCCTGTGCGAGATTTGTCGGATAACCGAACGGATCGCGTTATTTGTTTACGTCACAAAATTTGATTTCGATAGGAGTTGATGGGACTCGTCGTTTGTGTAATTTTGTTTTTACAATGATTCCTACTTTTTTGCGTGTGTTCCTTTTACAATATGTAATTTTTTATCATTAATTTTTCTGCATTTTCTAAAATCTAGAATACAATCATCAGATATCAATTTTTCCGGTATTATACGAGATTGTCATCAAATGGTATTTAAGAAAAAAATGGCTAAAAATTTGATGGTTAAATATTTTAATTTTTTTATCTTGTTTTTACAATTGTGGGAAGCTAAAATTTATATGGTATATATTTTGAGCCGTCCTCTTTTGGTCTGTCCTGAAAAGATATATATCCTTCACTGTCAGGAACTATTTTTGGTGAGAGGTTCAAAAATTTCACAACCAATTTAATCGCACGGAACCGGTGGGAACTCCGTCCACATATGCATTTTTTTTCCACTTATTGCTAAAAAATATTGATTAGTGCTGATAAGTTATTGACACAGCTATAGTTTGGTATGGTTAATAACGTGTTAAATGCTAAAAAAGTATGTTTTGAATGAAAAAAATGTCAAAAGGGATTCTTTTAAACATATCCAGTTTCTTCTGATACCATAGGCTATCAGAAGGCACTTATTTTCCACAGTTCAATCCACTATAATCCAATCCAATATAATTACACTGCATTTAAATTTCGTAAAATCCATATGACTAATGAAGAACAATGCCAAAGACGGAAGGAGCTTTGGTTGCAGGACGTGATACTGGTCTATAAATAATCCTAGACAAATACGTACACCTAAGGGTACTAGTCGGTTAATAATTGGTGTAGTGTTATTGACACATATACCTTGAGTCCGATATTTGTAGATCAAATATTAACTGAAGATCATTATCTGCATCCTTTAGAACACAATAAAAGATCTAACCCTAAATATATGAACACAAATAATATGGGAGCCAGATGGTGCACCACCAGACTATTCTTAGCTGTTATTAAGTGCCAAAAATCGTACACTTAAATTTATGAACAATACGTTTAACAAAATGATGGTCGGACGCAGTACTTAGCGGAATAAAATAAAAATCCCCTCTTTTTATTCAATGTTTGTCAATAACTCGAATACAAGAGAAATAATATATAAAATAAGAGAGATCCCAAACTTTTGCTAGTATTTTGTTTTCCATGCTAGAAAAAAACTTGATTTCTAACCCTACATTTTGTTTTTTATTTACCTTGAAATCTTTAAAAACAAAAGTTACAGTAAATCAGAACATGATCACAAAGATAAATTGAACTCACGGTACATCATGATTGATATCACGCGTCGTAAAATATAAATTATGATTTAAAATTTGTACACCTCTTGTACACATCACTTACAACATTACAAATATAGTCGTCTGAATTAGTTAAATTAAATCCAATCCCTATCATTTTAAAAATTATCGCTCTCTTCTATTGAGAGGTTTATCGCGCCATTTTCCTCTCTTTGTTCGGTGTTTTCCTGATTGCGTGTAATCCGATGTTCGACGGTGTTCCCCCAGTTTTCTAGCCGGTTCAAAATTCAGTTGCGCGCCACTAAAACAAACGCTTCGTCTGACTGACTAAAAGCAAAGCGGGGAAGGATCGCATTGATTTCGATAAATTGGTCTGTGCAAAAAAACGCGTCGCGTCGATTCCAGAGTAAACTTGTTTGGGTAGCCAACGATGCGTGGATGATTCGAACGTATAACTCAGGCCATGGATGAAATTAAATAACGCAATTTCAAATTCAATTTTTTATACGATTTACCGTTAACTTATCTACCAGAATAAATATTTACATTGCGCATTTAAATTTAATAACTTGATGTTATTTTAATTATAGGGTGTTATTTCATTGAAGCCATAATCTACTTAGTGAATCTTTACCCCACACTGAGGTCGAATTTATATTTTGTTCGGTTCTGTTAAAAGGAGAGATGAACCATCTTTTAATAAATAACACACTATATTTTCACTATTTAACAAAAAATTACGTTTTACAAAGTAAGTCTTTTAGTTTCTCGTCTGATCTCCATACTCAACCAAAGCATATATTGATATGTAAAACATTGCCAACGTAACTAAACTCCAACCTTAGAACAAAAATAGAAGTCAGAAGAATTATACTTTGATGACGGTTCCTTCGATATAGTTTCAACACGACTGTTTTTGGATTGTGGTTAGTCACGACCCTAATGCACTACGCGACTAATTAAAATTTAACATGTAATTTGCCGCATTCTATCCCTCGAAATGAGAACTTTTAATTGCTACAAAACAAAACAAGCAAAAATAAAAGGAAGTGGAACGTACTACGTCTCACCGTCAGACTGACAAATGACTCAACGTTGACAAATGTTTGAAACATAATCGTGGCAAATATTTCACAGTAATTTTGACAAATAAACTGTAAAATTTATTTATGGTACGAAGCTAACCAACAACATCATCTATATGTGTTGTGGTTATGACTAGGGTTATTTATTTATACCAATGAGGTTATTTATTATAGTGCTTAGAGCAAACCAATTATAGAGCAACGCGAATTAAAAAAAATAATGTTTACAAAATTTGGTAGAGGTACGCCAAAAATAATCCTTGAGACAAATAACAAAACCAATGAATACGCGAAGAGTGAAATGTTACAGAAGTTCTGTGTTCCTAATTGATTTTTTAAAGGCCCATAAATTAGTAAGTCGGTAAGTCAATATTACTCTGTTCTCTGAAAATTTTATTATATAATCTTATTCAATCGTATAGGAAGAGAGTTAGAAAGTGTGACTATTCCTGGCTACCTGGCTGTCTAATGTAGACTGTGCATCTGTCTACATTAGTATATAAAATTACTAGGTACGATATGATAGACTGATCGGGGGTAGTGATAACAGTCACCGAAACCAGTTCTAGCATCCCAAGCATAGTAGGGCGGCGTTTCATAGCTCTTTCACATGTAACGCTATTAAAACTTACAATTCACTTCTGCTGGATATTATTACTTGTTCATCTACTTCTACAGGAGAAGCTGAACCGCTTAGTTACTTAATCTTTTTTCTTATTGTTTTTCTTTTTGTCGTTTTTGGTTAGTTTTGGATGGTTTTGTCATTTTTAGATATTATCCTTTCTTTCTTCCAGTGTCTATTTTTTCTTTCTTTAGGGATATAAAATTTTTGAATTTATCCCCCTTTGATTGGTTTAAAATTGTCATATTGTGAATTTAGATGGACTTAAGGGTTGATATTCATATATATTTTTTGGCGCTGCTAGACCTCGCCACCTATTTAACTCTGTTGTGGTGTTATGTTCTTTTTGTTGCGTTTTAATATATGCCATTTATAAAATTCGATCAACACTAAGAA